AAATGAGAGGCTGGTATAAATGGTTGATGCCGCAGTGTTCTTTGCCAAAAAAGCATTAAAAGAGGCCCCCACGAGCATTCAAGAAATGAAAAATTAAAATGAGTGGCTCATATGAAGGGGCTGTGCATTATAGCTCCCAATCAGGGGGGGGGGCATTTTACTTTGAAACTACTTTCTAGATTCCGATGCTCTTGCTTGTTTTCCCCATTATTTCAAAAATGACAGAAATAGCTCACGGACAGCCTAGTGACCTCAGTGGCTTCACTTCACTGTCTCAGCCCTCTCTTTGCATTGTGCTGATTAGTATTGTGTTTTACTGTATTTCTTCACTGTTTTTTTTATTTTCACACTATCGTTTCACAGGAAATATGGAGCAATAATGATTATCTCGACATGGCAGAGAGACTGTCGTCCGCTTTTCGCTATCACCACTATTTTCATTCCGGGTTCACAGGAAGCGGCGTGTGCGTGTTCAGTCGTTATCCGATAGTGTCAACGCTTACTCATAGGTAACACATTTTTATGTGATCTTCTGGATACTCTTTCCTTTTCAAATGAACTATACTCTTTCTTTCCATCTATTTTTAATTTTTTTTTCTTGAAGTCCCACATCCATTCGAAATGGAGCGGCTTCTGAGTGGCCTACACAATTCGTTACATGGGCGCAGTTCGACTTGGTGGGGGCATTTTGCTATTTCCCATCAATCCTTGCCGATGGCCCCGTGAAAACCTGCAAATCTCTTCAAGTAGCGGGAGCTCTATTTACACTTGACAAAAGTCTGCACAATTCACGAGGTTTCAGTTCAGAACCTATGACCGTTTACCGTATGGAACGATTTCAGGTACTCATTGAATGGGTTTGCTCATCATATCCATCGCGGTGATTGGTTCGGTGGTAAGGTAGGCTGCTTTCATCGCATTTTATGACGTGTCTTTCATTTCTGATATTTCTTTTTTTACTCGCTAAAGGTTATGGTTATGTTTCTGATTAAGGTTGTTGGCTTAGTTGAAATAGAGGTCGGTGAAATCCGGGTTAATTTCTACACCACACACCTCCATGCGGAATATAATCGTGAAAATGATCTTTATCTTCCACATAGGTAGTTTTCAATCGTAGAAGTTCTGTGATTCTCCATGCGCCGAACATTTCTTCATTTAAGAACATCACAATCATTTGAACTGAGCCAATTCGTGCGCCACACCTCACATGGTGCCGATGTTGTTATTGTGGTCGGAGACTTCAATATGGAACCAGATGACTTGGGTTTCAGGTGATTTTGCATTGGTCATTTTTTTGGAGGTTATGAGGATTTTTGAGTATGCTGAGAGCAAAAGAGCTCTGAGTTGAGTGCATCGACTCGCCTGGAATGACGTTTTGAATGCCCTGGGAATCCCGGACTAAAATGCCCCTTCTTATTGGAACTGTGCTCATTTTCCTAGGTTTACATCAAAGTGTACAGTGAAGCTTGTTGCGCTGAAGAAATTTTGAAAAATTCATTGCTATTGTTTCTTTTGTCGGGGGGAGGGAAGGAGCTAAATGAGGGATAGCGGAATTGTTTACTGATGACGTAATCATAACTGAGCTCCAAGTTCTTGTCAATGTTTCTATAGAAAGTCCTCCGTCCCGAAGTTGGTCATTAGCACAGCTTCAAAATGGGACGCAGAGTTCTTCTGACATCCAAGTGAGCTCATTTTTAGGTTAACTTTTTCCCAAGTTCGTCTCTCGGATGCAGGCAACTTGCCCATCCAGTTTATGGGTAAGAGCGGCTTTGGTGGCGTGGCGGTTAGCGCACTCGCCTGGAAAGCGTGAGGTGCGGCTAGAAGTACCACCGGGGATCAAGACTTCTGCCTATAACACGCCTTTCTTGTAATAACTAAACTCGCAAAAGGATGGACGTAAAGTCCTCCTGAATGTGAACAACCAAGAAAATATAAATCCTTATTTAAGCGTTAAATTATTCCCAAGTTTCATCTCACTGGAATGACAATGAAGCCGACTTGACTCATCCAGTCTGGACTACTCCAGAATGGAGCCGCCAAGAATCAGTATTATCGTACTCTCCAGTAAATACTTCGTAGGGAGTGGTGCATAGGTGAGACGTAAGCTGATCATACATGAATAAAACTTTACATAACCAGAAGCAGGAGAGACAAGAAGAATGTGAAAGCTAAAGTATTATATTATGAAGTATTTTTTAAACAATAAATTATTCAGTAATACAAGTTTTTCTCAAAATAATATTTAGCTCTGGTTTTATATGTGCATCTGCCCCAATATATTCCATTCCTCAACTTGTAAATTTGCACTATTTGTCGATTAGAATTCTAACCTAACTCATTTACTTATATTATAAACTTATATTACATACCGAATCAACCATTCATTCAATATAGATTTTATAGAGACGAAGAGCAAAAACGATAATTACTACATTTTGTTTCAAAGGTTGCTTATCGAATGGCTGTTCTCTTATGGCAGTGCGATATATAGCAATGAACAAGGTGTGTGGTGTTGTTTTTGTTATGTTTGATTTCATTTCTATAAGTTTCCCATTAGTGGCAGTTTAAGCTGAATTATTCATGGTGTTAGTTACTTGCAACTCATTTCTCCAATTTCCGTTTTTACTTATTGTAAGGCCCTTTGAAAGTTGCTGCACCAAGATGGCCACCGAATTTTTGATATATTTTTCTGATTTTCAGTCCCCTACTGCTTTTTCTCCATATTTCTAGTTTTTGTTCACTGGGATTTTGTTCATACTTCGCGAGCTGGATGCTCTGAACGCGTATGTGGTTTGGTCGTGCAGTCAGAAGGGAATCGCTGACGCCAATCCCTTTGATCCGCTAGAGGGCGACCAAATCGTGTAGCGTGAACGTACTCTGTGGTACTCTATCGCTATCCACGGCACGTTGCCAGCGTCCTGTTTACTGTAGATCCTTCGTTTCAAAAACATGGGGCCTTGCCATTGAAAAACAACTTTTAGAGATCCATTTTGAAGTCACGTTCTCCTTGGCGTCGCTCCCACTGGGATGAGCCAAAGACCGAAAGAGATGGTTCTGGTACGGGTCAATGGCAGGGCTAACAGTGCATGGGAAAGAACCGTCCAGTCAGACTGCGCACGCTCATTTGAGTCAACTTCGCGACGTTTCATTTGATCAGCGTGTAGACGCTCAATGTCACACAAGAATGAGGCTTTTCTTTGCTCCTCCTCTTATTTTAGCTGCCACTCGGCCCAGTTATTTGCTCAGTATGGTATGGCAGCAGTCTCTAACGGTCGACTCCCTTCCAACAGTAGCACAACATGATCTTCTTGAATACTGGTTGAGGCTTTGGTTTCTTCTCTTTTCCCGGACTGGGCCATTGTCACTTGCGCTAAAAACTGACGTAAAACACCCATATCTAGTGTCCAGTTACCACATAATCTGGGCAGTCAGACGTATTGTAGATGTCAGACCTCATACACAAAAGGTAAGGTAGGGGTCAGAGTGCAAGGTTGAGGAAGAACACCGCTAACAGCAGCTATCCAGGGGGACAGCAGTAGTAGAAGTGAAGTATTTAGCATAGATTAATAGGGTTAGCATTGGTCATTTA